CCCCTGGCCAGTGACTGTGACACCGCCCTTTTGCCGGGGGGATGGCGGGAACCTCCTGCCGGTGTGTGCCTGTGGTCCGTGTCACAGCTGCGTGGGTGGCATTGCTCAGAAGTCCTCTGCCAGCCCCAGCAGCCGCCACGGCATTAAGTGCACTTTTATTTAAACTGAAGAGCTGTAAAGATGCCCTTTCCACCAGGGACTCCCTTGCAGGCTGGTGCACAGAGCTGAGGGAGGTGATACTGTGTGGGGCCAGCAGGCAGCCTGGCAAAGAAAGGGGGTCTGGAGGGGAGCAGGCGACAAGCAGAAAGCAGCATCTTTCACCCAGACTGCTCCTGGGGGCACGGTACAAGCGGGTGGTCGATTAAGATGGACAACATGCTGAAGAAAGCAGGTTTTCACTGTGTTTCGTTGCCTAGCCACGCTATTTCTCAAGAATGAGATGGGATGAGCCAAAGTTGAAGTTGTCTGCTATTATTGATGTGGCATGTTTCCGTTTATGCCTTTTTCACCACAGCACAGGATCAATAGTTGCTTTATGTCTTAGGCCTTTGTCAAATTTCAGACTAAGTGCAACTCAGAACAAGTCACCACTGTTACCAAGAAGAAAGTTCAGCAATACCCCTGATGGAGAGCCCAGAGGTGTCATTTTATTACCACAGTCAGCTCCTGTGGGAAATGTGAAGAGTGTAAGAGCCTTATACCTACGCTTGTGGGGTAGGATGAAAGTCTGAATGTCTTCAAAAATGTTCCTTTGAAGACTCAAGACTGGGCTGCTGGATAAACACAGTCTCTGGCATTTCCTGTGTTCCCCGGAGCTACCACGGATGCGATCACTGAGACAACACCTATCATATTACTTCACAGTTTTTCATGTACCAGTGTGAAAGAAACCCGTCCACACTGATCATTTCCTTACATCAGCTCTTGAAAGCCTTTGTAAACAGCTTCAAACACAGGTTTGGGAAAAATTATTTCCCCATTGTTAAACTCGAGTATGTTGACTTTAAACGTAGAGCTGACCACTGAAGTTCTCACATTTATGGCATTGCGAACTGCAGCAGTTTTCTAGTTGGACTAGCAGGAATAGGGGACACACTTTCAGGCAGTGGTGTTTCTAGCGTGGAGATAGTTTGTCAACAATCTTGCAATATTCAATTTTTTTCGAGGATATTTGTATCCACTTAATAGCTGACTATAAATGGGGTTCTGTTAGCAGGAAACAAACTATTTTTTCTCCATCGATAACAATTTGATCTGGTAGATGTCTTAGCTCAGTCATGAGCCAAGAAATGCATCAAAGCACACCATTCCTAGTCAGAGACAAGGTCCTAGCTTGGTCTCATTAAACCATTTTCTGATGTCATTCCTGAAAGTGACCTTTTCTTAAAACGGAACAAAAAAATTAGTATTTGGCAGATCAAAACCTGAACAGTCTTGAAATTCTCTTTCCCGATTGTTCTTACCTGTCCATTTCATTCTGACTTCTGTATGTTACAGAACATGACCTGGAACGCCCTTCTGTGCTGGCTGAGGCTGATAGGGTGGGAAGGAGCAGCAGGATCAGGTGTGAACACCAGAACCTTGGTCCTTTCCTGCCTCTGCTAATTGTGGATACAAAAAGGCTAGAAGCAGAAATTTTCCAGCTACTGCAGCGTCCTGTGAAAGTTCTTTTTCCCATGCAGGCTAGCTGAGAAACAGTTTGAGGTTTTTGTAAACTAAGACTTTATCTTGCACCTGTAGCTTGTTATGCAGTCTTGTTTATGGCACACTGGGAAAGTTGTTTTGAAATGGGTGTTGTAGCATTTAGCCAATCGCTCTGGGAGGTGGATGGTCAAGCGACCAATTGCCTTGGCCATCCTTGTGAACCATATTATATATATATACGGATTTGTAATTAATAAACGGCTGATGCTGCTGTTGATACTGCTGCTGCTGTTGGCATTTTCTCCTGGACCTGAATTCTGTGTCGTTCTTCTCTCCGTCCCCGAGACGGC